TATAAGTCCCTTAATATGGGCTATAACTTAGTTACCGATAGTTACCCTAATTATAACCCCACTTATAAACACCCATGAACCTCCAAGTGGAGCAGTCACAAGTCTCAGATGTCAGCGCTTGTGCCAGCACAACAAGCCTAACCCTAAACCCTAAACCCTAAACCAACCCCTAGGATTTGGGGTTCTAAGCACATTCCCAGAGGGCCCAAAAATACTACCACTGCTGAATGAAGCCCCCAACAGACCATTCTCATCATGGTCTTGGGGGACGTAATTCCGCAATGGTATACTGTATGTGGACCTTGTTGGATTTACTGCTTTTGGAGTACTAACAACACCCCTTCCGCCCTCGGCCGGCTCCTCAACACAATCGTTCAGAATGGCTCGTCTCCTTGATGCCGGGATCTCCAAACAGCCCCTGCAACTCACTCTGGAAGAACACATGCCGACTTAACACCATAAATAACCCCTGAACCTAAACCCCTGAACCAAAACCCCCAAACCCCTAAACTCAACCCTAAACCCACTATGAACTCGGGCCCCGACCCGGATCATGCTTCCTTTCGTCTGCAGGGGCGTGCCGAAGGCCTCTTTGACCAGGGTCTTCACCTCCACTGCAGCAGTTCATAGTACAGGGTACTGTAGAGGCCTGACAATGTTTTGGGTTTATGGGGTGTGTGTGTATAAATATACATATATATATATATATATTATATTATAATATATTATACTATACTTTGTACATAACCACCTAGCGCTTCTAGGGCCTTCTTTTCTACTGAGCGAGTTGTAAACCGCTCAGAAACCAGTGAAACTTCAGGACGATGCGACCCGCAGAATCAGAAGTCGCATCGGCTTGCGGAATGAAAAGGCTTGAAGTCGATCGGGTCTTGGATTGCAGGCCTGAAGACTCCGGGTACGGGATCTGGGCTGAAGCTTAGGGCTTATAGGATTTAGGGCTTCGGGCTTAGATTCAGATTTGGGTTACATGGTTTCGACATGACTTTGAAGCCCTGGATCGGGCATATGCTTCCCCCAAAAAAAGGTGATCCTTGACGCTCCATGTACCTCAAAGTCCATGCTGGCCAGGTCCTCGAGGGACATAGACTGGTAGAGAAGGCTGCAGGGAAACCACTGAAACGTGGCCAGGTTGAACACAATATCCAGATTGCGTGATCCAATCGGGGCTTCCGGTTAAGAGATGGGCTTGAGCAGCCCCGAACTCTAAGTTTGGGGTTTAGGTCCAAACCTCATCTCACTCACTCTTACAGCCCAAAACAGCTCCAGTCCAGCAAATTACTCGGCAGTGTAGTAGTGATGATAGGGTCGCCAAAGAGAATTCACCGGCACCAACATCCAAAACAACAGTAACAGTAACAGTTAGACCTGCATGAACAAAAAACTACCCACAGGCACAACTGTATCTACATTGTAGTTGCATCTCGTTAAACCCTAATCCCTATAAGCCCCATAACACCCTATAAAACCCCCAGAAAGCCCGTAAGCCCTAAAAGCCCTGTAACACCCTATAAAACCCGTAATACAAGCCCTATAACACCATACAAATGCCCCCAGAAACCCCATAAGCCCTAATAGCCCTAAACCCTAAACCCTAAACCCTAAACCCTAAACTCTCTCTCGTTTTGCCGACCTGGGGGTCCTCGTACCCGGCCAGGTCGTACTGCGCCGTCTCCTGTGATAAGGGCTTAGGGTTTAGGGGTTTAGGGGTTTAGGGGTTAGGGGTTAGGGGTTTAGGGGTTTAGGGGTTTAGGGTTTAGGGTTTAGGGTTCAGGGGTTTAGGGTTTATGGTTTTTTTAAAACCTTCCTTGCTGGTGGGAACCTACGAAAGCAGGGAAGCCCAAGACACATCAGTGAAGGGCTTTGCTGTTGGGGTACAAGTAGCCCTATAAGGGTCATATAGTATATACTTTGGTCTTGAAGTAGTCTCGAAGCAGGTACCCAAAGTACAATATATCACCCTGCACACGGACAATCTGCAAAGTCCAAAACCAAACCCTGACAGCCTCAACCCTAAACCCTCCACCCTAAACTCTAAACCCTGAGCCCGAAACCCTAAACCCTCCACGGAAGACTAAACCCTAAGCCCGAAACCCTAAACCCGAAGCCCTAACCCCAAGCCCTTGCTCCAACACTGTTGAAGACCGTACTGGCCAATACCCAAGACCCTGCAAATAAAGGCCCTGAAACACTCAATCCACATCCCTCGACCTCACTAAACCATAAGCCCTAAACCCTAAACCTTAAACCCTAAACCCTCAAACCCTAAAGCCACAGAACCTTACCTGTGGATCCGAAACCCTACTGACCTACGGCTTCAAGCGTTAGACCCTATGCTGAAAAAGGGGTTTAGGGGCTTCGGGTTTCGGGTTTAGGGGTCATACTGTAGCCTGCTATGTTGTGGGCCAAAGGGGCTGCATGTCAATCTTAAATCCCGATTCCCCGTTACGAAACCCAAAGCCCTGAAGCCTAAACCCTAAGCCCTAAAGCCTAAACCTTAAGCCCTGAAGCCTAAACCATAAACCCTAAACTCCTAAACCCTATACAGTCCGGTGTAGATCGGATCTCGGCCGCAATCTTGTCCTTGGGCTTCGAGACCTCCTGACTCATCGTCCGGGGCTTTGGCTTAGGGTTTGGGGTTTAGCGTATAAGCCGCAATATGTACACTTGCAATTCTATAAGGGATCATTTTATCGCCAAACGTGTAAAGTGTACTCATTCTGCTACAAAGTTGGGATTCGGGATTTCCGGCGTTGGTTTTCGGGGTCTTATGGGTCTTAGGGGCTTTAGTGGTTTCAGGGCTTTTGGATTCTAAGATGTTGGGGTGCGGGGCTTAAGGCTTTGGGTCTGGGGCTTGGGGCTTTAGGGTGGGAGGGTTTTGAGGTTTGAAGGATTGGTAGGGTTTAGGGTTTAGGGTTTAGGGCTTTTGGCTTTGGGCTTTTATAGCATGTTGTGGCGCGAAGAAATCCAGAGCTCCCGGTGCTGCGGCAAGGGATGGACAAGACGTAGAGGCGTAGAGCTTTGGGCTTTTATAGGGTTCACGGATCCATCATTCCGGGTTGAGGGTTTGGGGTTCTGTCTTATTCAAAAATCTTGCGTGCTGGAAAGAGGCTCGGGGAAATCGGTAGAAGTTCAAGGGCAGAGAGGGTGCCTTTCGCCGTCGTCTACCCGAGCACGGCCCGAAAAGAACTTGTTACTCGGTTTTGGGCTTTGGAAGATTAGCCGTTCAGAGATTACGGATACTGCGACACATCTATTCGTCATCAAACCAGAGTATAGATCTTCTGAGCTAGTGAAGGATTTGAAACCCAACGATTCAGCAGTGGAAAATCTGCAAAACAAGCTGAGCCGATGTTTGGGAAAGACCGCTCTCCCATTCCCGGTCGCACGATCGGACGAGAGATGGCCTGGATATGTCTAGATCGAATGTGGGTGGGCGCTGCTCGTCGGAGTTAAGCAGCGGACTACAAGGAACGATGTGCCCTAAACCCTAAACCCTAACCCAGCAGAACTTGGCCGCTAGTTCCTGCTCAAAACCCTTCTTTTCAAGCTTTCTGCAGCTGTCAGCTTGCGACACGGACAGAAGTACATTGGTGCTCCGAAGCAAGGGATACTCCCATCTTCTCCTCTAGGTTCCAGTTCAGGCGAGCTTTCAGATTTTAGATCCATGCAAGGACCCGAAAATCAAGGGGTCCAAGGGTACTTCTGGGACACCTGGGGGGGTTCAAGAACTTACTGGCCCTAACCCCTAAACCCTAAAGCCAGTTTAGAGCTTGGGGGTGCCTGGGAAAGCCATGGATGAATCCAGAGCCGGGCCCAGAACCCGAAATTCCCAAGCGGCCCAACTCTGCCCAAGTCCCGAAGTCTTACAACCCGGAACACTGTCGCGATGCTGATGATGGTGGTGATAATGATGAAGAACATGACGATGATGATGCTGATCATGATGACGATCATGATGATGACGGTGACGATGGTGATGATGATGGCGACGATTATGGTGATGATGATGATGGTGATGATGATGATGATAGTGATGATGATGATGATGATGATGGCGGTGAGGATGGCAATGAATATGATGGGGGTGAGGATGATGCTGAGGATGATGTGGAGGATGATGTTGATGATGCTGATGATGACGAAGATGAAGTTGATGAACAAGACGAACAACCATGACACTAATACTAATAATAGTAATACCAATAATAATAATATAAATACTCAAAAGATGATGATGATGATGATGATGATGATGCCTCGTCTGCCAAGCGCCACCACCACCACCAGCCCTGAGAGCTGGAAGCTCAGATCCAAAGACTCGGGCTTGCAGGGGCCATAGGGCGTACATCTCAGGGTTTGGGGATTAGGGTTTGGGGTTTAGGGGGGACTCATGGAGGTTCCATGGAAATATCCGATGTCAATCTTGGGGGCACCGTCCCCGGCTTCGGAGATCGCCTACACAGCTGTGAGACCTCGGGCAAGTGAAACATCCACCTAGGGAGCAGCTCCTGAGCAGCGACGGCGTCTGAAGACCTTTCCTTCAAGTCCATTCCAATGGGTATCGGTAGAGGCTTAAGTTAGGGGCCTCAATAACTAGAGTTGGGTTTATGGGTATTAGAACCGGAAGAAGTAATACACATGAAACATGCCAGGCATCCGTTGCGAGATCTGGGACATGTTGGCTGATCATATGTTCCCCTAAACAACCGCTGATCAAAATAAAAACACAAAGCGCGTACGCAAAACACACGCATGCACACACACAGGCATATATATATATATATATTTATGTATTTATTTATTCATATTTATTAATGTATTTATTTGTTGATAGTTATAATTACACCGTCACACAACCACACACATGTATATATATATATATATACAGATGCATCTACGAATATGAGGTTGATAAGACATGCATATGAGTATGAATGTGCATATGCCTACATATGAGTATGAATACGCATGTCTCTAGCTGTCTATCTACCTCTCTATCTATCTCTCTATCTATCTATCTATCTATCTATCTATCTCTCTCTCTCTCTCTAATCATACAATCGTGTTCATGTGCATATGCATATTCACATGCATAATGCCCATACCCATACCTATGTCCATATCGGAGTTGACCTTGATACTGAAGTGGACTTTGGTAGTGGACTTCATATTCCATTGGTATACTGGTTAGGTGCCTGCGTATGTTTCTAAATAGTGTTTATACAATGCGTGTGTAGAAGTAAGTAAACAAACAATTAGCAAACCACTATATAGGTATATACATGGCATACATACATACATGCATACATACGTACATACACACATACATGTATATAAATATATATGTATATATATATATGCATACATACACACATATATACATCCATGCATGCATGCATACATACAGACCCACACACACACACAAACTCTTGATAGCTCGGCAATTGCAAAGCGGGAGCTTAGTGCTGCATTTGCTGTGACAGATGCACGGCTATGCAAGCCACTAGCCTGCTTTCAAGGCTTGGGACAATCTAGAATCCCTCGACTTAAGTAGGCTTAAGCTTTGGGAGTATAATCTTGTATGAGTTGCATAAGCATTTAAGGACCACAGGGAGATGACATTTCCAATTCTTCACCCCCTATAACATTTCAGCGTTCAGCGCAATTTGTAGTTAGGATTTGAGATGCATGTGAAATTAGACGTTAGAGCTAACTGTCGATGTTCTGCTATCTTAGTATCAGCAGACTATTAAGTTACTATTCAAACAATACTATTAGGACTTGCTCCATCATGTCAGCTGCTCCGACCGCAGTGAGACTTGGAAGTTTTTCCGGCCTTGCCAAAAGGCAAAGACATCTCAGGGTCACAGCGTCAGAGGCTCCGGTGTATACGGCATGCTTGCACCTGACGGTTCAGGCTTCCCAGCATACTGGGCATCGGGCATCGCTGTTGTCCTGTAGAGGCCTTAATATCTAGAATAAGGTTTTGGGGGTTAGTATACTTTTCATAATGAGGACCCCCCCCAAAATAGTATTGGTAATCATTTGGGCTCCTGTAGTACTTGAGGCATGCAGGGATGAAGAGCATGATGGAACCTGCATGTAATCTGGCATTCCCAGACCTTGGCTGTTCTTCAAAAAAAAAGCCTGCGAAAATTTATTTTTTGCTCCTGCTTTTTTATGATTTTATCCAATCACGGTCCAGCCTAGACCCATGACCCAAAACCCCATGCTTCCTGATCCCCGATATTCCTTGGGGTTTAGGTTTAAGGTTTCGTGCACATGGAAAGCCGTCATAGGTCTGACCTCACAGATGACTATCGAGTCTCTAGTGCAGGGTTTACTTGGAGGTTCGTAGGGTTATATACGTCCGCTAATATGGGTTATAACTATAGTGACCCTACTTATAACTCCAGTTATAACTACCCATGTGCCACCAAGTAGGGTTTCGGGTCGCCAAAGAGACAGACCTTGTCATGCGGGTCCAGGGGTAGTTGTTATGAGTGGGGTCATAAGTAGGATAACTATACTTATGACCCAAAATGATAGGGGGCTTATAACCCTTCTTCCAACTACTCTGAACCTAAACCTTAAACCCTATATAAATATATAGAAACCTGAAAGGAACCATACCCCGAACCCGAAAGCTTAAACCCTACAGAACCCTTGAAGCAACTGTAAATATAACCCTACTTCTGACTATCCATGAACCTCCAAGTCTACTGAAGATCTACTGCCCCTAAGTTCTCCCACGACAAAAAGCTGAGCAGGCTAGGTACTCCCTCAATCCAGCCGCCTCCAACCATAGGGTTCCTTTATGGGCTTCGTTAAGGGTCTAGGGTTTAGGGCTTTAAGGGTCTAGTTCTACAGGGTTTTATTGCACGCTGCTGCTACAAAAGAAAACCTCAAAGTTATAATCACTACTACATCAAGTAAGCCAAACCCTACTCCATATCAGCATCATGTCCCTACAGGATACGTGGGTAGTTCTCCAAACTAGGGTCCCTTTTGGGGTCCTTTTTATAAGAGTGCTGTACTATATTGGGGTTCTAAAAAGGGACCCTTATTTAGAGAACTCCCCACGTCCTTAGCTTCTTCATTTACGGCAACATGTAGTGCGCCCATGCTCAAGGGTTCCGACTGCAGGAGCGTAAATCTGCCAAGTTGAGGGTTTAGGGCTTAAGGGTTC